TGTATGTATGCAGGTTAGGGTTAAGTACAGTTAATTTCTGGTTGGTAGATGGTGACCTGTGAATGATGAACCTACCGGGCCCCGACCCTTAAATTGTAGGTGAACGGCACGCCAAGTCAGATGCTCTTTTTTATTGTATGTATGTATGTAGGTTAGGGCTAAGTGCAGTTAATTTCTGGTTGGGAGATGGTGACCTGTGAATGATGAACCTACCGGGCCCCGCCCCTTAAATTGTAGGTGAACGGCACGCCCAGTCAGATGCTCTTTTTTTATTGTATATATGTAGTTAGGGCTAAGTGTAGTTAATTTCTGGTTGGGAGATGGTGACCTGTGAATGATGAACCTACCGGGCCCCGCCCCTTAAATTGTAGGTGAACGGCACGCCCAGTCAGATGCTCTTTTTATTGTATATATGTAGTTAGGGCTACGTGTAGGTAATTTCTGGTTGGGAGATGGTGACCTGTGAATGATGAACCTACCGGGCCCCGCCCCTTAAATTGTAGGTGAACGGCACGCCCAGTCAGATGCTCTTTTTTTATTGTATGTATGTAGGTTAGGGCTAAGTGTAGTTAATTTCTGGTTGGGAGATGGTGACCTGTGAATGATGAACCTACCGGGCCCCGCCCCTTAAATTGTAGGTGAACGGCACGCCAAGTCAGATGCTCTTTTTTTTTTATTGTATGTATGTATGTAGGTTATGGCTAAGTGCAGTTAATTTCTGGTTGGGAGATGGTGACCTGTGAATGATGAAACTACCGGGCCCCGCCCCTTAAATTGTAGGTGAACGGCACGCCCAGTCAGATGCTCTTTTTTTTATTGTATGTATGTAGGTTAGGGCTAAGTGCAGTTAATTTCTAGTTGGGAGATGGTGACCTGTGAATGATGAACCTACCGGGCCCCACCCCTTAAATTGTAGGTGAACGGCACGTCCAGTCAGATGCTTTTTTTTTTATTGTATGTATGTATGTAGGTAAGGGCTAGGTGTAGTTAATTTCTGGTGGGGAGATGGTGACCTGTAAATGATGACCCTTCCGCCCAATGAGATGCTCTTTTTTTATTGTATGTATGCAGGTTAGGGTTAAGTACAGTTAATTTCTGGTTGGTAGATGGTGACCTGTGAATGATGAAACTACCGGGCCCCGCCCCTTAAATTGTAGGTGAACGGCACGCCCAGTCAGATGCTCTTTTTTTTAATTGTATGTATGTATGTAGGTTATTGCTAAGTGTAGTTCATTTCTGGTTTGGAGATGGTGACCTGTGAATGATGAACCTACCGGGCCCCGCCCCTTAAATTGTAGGTGAACGGCACGCCCAGTCAGATGCTCTTTTTTTTTATTGTATGTATGTATGTAGGTTATGGCTAAGTGCAGTTAATTTCTGGTTGGGAGATGGTGACCTGTGAATGATGAAACTATCGGGCCCCGCCCCTTAAATTGTAGGTGAACGGCACGCCCAGTCAGATGCTCTTTTTTTATTGTATGTATGTAGGTTAGGGCTAAGTGCAGTTAATTTCTGGTTTGGAGATGGTGACCTGTGAATGATGAACCTACCGGGCCCCGCCCCTTAAATTGTAGGTGAACGGCACGCCCACTCAGATGCTCTTTTTTTATTGTATATATGTAGTTAGGGCTAAGTGTAGTTAATTTCTGGTTGGTAGATGGTGACCTGTGAATGATGAACCTACCGGGCCCCGCCCCTTAAATTGTAGGTGAACGGCACGCCCAGTCAGATGCTCTTTTTTTATTGTATATATGTAGTTAGGGCTAAGTATAGTTAATTTCTGGTTGGGAGATGGTGACCTGTGAATGATGAACCTACCGGGCCCCGCCCCTTAAATTGTAGGTGAACGGCACGCCCAGTCAGATGCTCTTTTTTATTGTATGTATGTAGTTTAGGGCTAAGTGTAGTTAATTTCTGGTTGGGAGATGGTGACCTGTAAATGATGAACCTACCGGGCCCCTCCCCTTAAAAGTTAAATTGTAGGTGAACGGCACGCCCAGTCAGATGCTCTTTTTTATTGTATGTATGTAGTTTAGGGCTAAGTGTAGTTAATTTCTGGTTGGGAGATGGTGACCTGTAAATAATGAACCTACCGGGCCCCGCCCCTTAAATTGTAGGTGAACGGCACGCCCAGTCAGATGCTCTTTTTTATTGTATGTATGTAGTTTAGGGCTAAGTGTAGTTCATTTCTGGTGAGGAGATGGTGACCTGTGAATGATGAGCCTACCGGGCCCCGCCCCTTAAATTGTAGGTGAACGGCACGCCCAGTCAGATGCTCTTTTTTATTGTATGTATGTAGTTTAGGGCTAAGTGTAGTTCATTTCTGGTGAGGAGATGGTGACCTGTGAATGATGAGCCTACTGGGACCTACCCCTTAATTTGTAGGAGAACGGCACGTCCAGTCAACAATTTCAAGTTTTAGTTTTTGTTCCTGTTTCGTTTTATTTATTAGCAGTTGTAAGAACTTTGTTCAATGTGTTTAACTGGTTATTTCTGCTAGGCTAAGATATATTTAGTGTAGGTATTTTCTGGCTAGGAGATGTTGGCATTTGAATTATGGGCCTACCCGGCCCTTTCCTTTAATTACAGGAAAATGGCAGTCAACTATTGTTTTTTCCTTAGATTTCTAGTTTTTGTTATGTTTAGCTACCACTGTTTTTAAAGGGGGGGGGATAAAAGATGACAGAATAAAAATGGGGGGAAAAGAGAAAAAAATGTTAAAGAGAAGAAGAATGCAAAGGGAAAGCGAGGGAAAGAGGGAGAGAGAAAAAGAGAGAGAGAGAGAGAGAGAGAGAGAAACATTGAACTTAAATTTACGTGTACAGATTACATTGTCGATGAGCTGGCTCGACATGTGCCTAGCTACGAAAACTTCGGAAAAGTATAACCTAACGGGAAAAAACAGTTATACGACATTGCTTTTATAACAGTGAAAGAGATGATTTATAATGAAATAATTAGGACTGTATGAATTTCAAGGAGAAAACTACAATTTCTATCTCTCGTTATGGCCATCTTGGAGATTCTAAATTGTTAACAACTCGAGAGCACGCGGATGCTCCGCCCCTGGAACCTTGCGAGCCCCTTGACCCCATCCGGAATGATAGAAGTGTTTCCCAAAACAACCCTTTGTTTTGTGAACTTATCCTTTGTAGGAGAAAGAGGGTGTGTGTGTTTTTGTATTTTGCATGTGTATGTGTGTTTTTTAAAAAAGGAGATAGATAGAGAAAGAGATAAAGAGATAGAGAGGAGGAGGAGTGGGAAACTGGGCTAGACTGTTTTCTTGGTTTGGATGACGAATTTGCGTCAGTTTCCGCTCGTAAAATGTTTAGTTTCCAACTTAGTCAACAATATGCAGACAAAAAAGATCATTAGGAAATATATTTAGCGGCGGGTAGGTGCAATAAATGAGTGTATTGTATTAGCATTAACAAAAATGATGTTATGCATCTTAGCACCACGATTCATGAAATAAACAAATTTTGGAAAGCTGAATGTACATCAGTTATTATTCCATGTTGTGTTCGTTTGCTTTTAAACCGGCTCCATTGACATAAACTTGTGAAAAGATGATGTTGATGAAAAATAAGATCGACCCGCAAAAATCTATTTAGTGGCAAACATGTATCTAATTAAAGTGTATTTACCCACACTATTTATAATTATTAACACAATTTCATGTTTTGCGATCTTCTTTCTGGGACAAAATGAAATAATTACATTTGATCAAAGAGTTGAATGGTAAATGAAATAATCAAATTGCTTCAATTTTTTTCCACAAAAAAGCAACCAATGATTTTTCCAAAAGTTTGCAATACCATCAATCCTCAGGAGCCTCCTTTCCGTAAAGCTAAATAGCAACTGCCACTGCTTTGAACAATCGGCCTTCCGAAGATTTTAGTCGCTTTGATTTCTTTTACTTTCTTTCAAATGTTTTCAATCCAGAACAGCCGTTAAATTCTTTTAAATCTCTCTTTACTATGTTTATTGTTTAGGTTTGTCTTTAAAGGTTTTTTATTTCATGTAAAGCGCTTAGAAATGATAATCATGTTAAGCGCTATATACATGTTCATATTGTAAACTTTTCTTGTTGTTTTCATTACTTTTCATCAAATCTTGTTACTTTGTTACCGATGCCAAACTTCATAAAGCAGGGCCCATATTTTTGCATCTTGGCGAATCATCGCAAGTGAGCGGGACTCGGCGCTGATGTTATGTATACAAAAAATGGAGCATATTTGCAAGGAAAAAAAGCCCTTTAGGTTTAGGTTTACGGAATGTTTATTCGACCTATCGCTAAATAATAATAATTAATGCACCTCGGAATAGAATTTCTAGATAGAGGGCGCTATAGAAATGCCTATAATAATAATTATTATTATTAAGAGGCTCCGTCTATTAAACACACGATAAAGATATGATGCAACTTAATAACTAATTAATTAGTTGGCCGAGCTGATACTGAAACAGCGTTATTAGAGGAGAAGAGAGGAGTTCGTAACATTAAAAAGTACAACACTACAAGGGGTCTAGACAAAATATACATCGAAAATATTTATGTCAGAAGAAATTCTGCTCTAAAAAAGGATTCTCTCCTTAACCGAAGGCCACGCCCTATTATAATAGGAATCAGTTCTAGTTGAGTTGGGTTGAATTGATCCATTGTGTTCCAAAGCGGATAGTTAGTTCCCTTTCCTTCTGTCATCATTCAGGCACATGTTGAGCTGTTGTTGACACAACGTTGGAATCTCCCGCCGAATAAAACCTTAAAAAACATCAATGAAAACGAAAGGGCCTCATTGAAAAAATAGAAATGTCTATATACATGTAGTCAGTCAATACAAATTGGTGTCTGCTGCAAGTAGATAGTACAAAAAACGCACGCACTCGTGCTCAGTGTGCAGTCATTGCACAGGTAACGTGCGGATGTTTCGTTAATGAACACGCGCTACTGCACTTTTGAGTCCTAACGATCATTCATTGTCATGCAAAAGTTATCTGCTCGCAGATGGACTTTGGGTTTGCATTGCTCATATGCTAATCGAGTTGAGCGGCAGTATTTGCGGTAGTTTTGAAGGCGGATCAGTCTTTCCTAATCTATTGACTTGTTAACGGAATCTATACACGGTGCTTTGTTGAACCGCAAAACGGAGGCAGGTTGCAGATCTTACTCTTGCAGGAGCGCAGGGGAACACCACTGGAGATCCTACACCCCTAGGGGTACAACATTACCAGGACAGGGGTACATTATCCGTGCAGGGGTGCATTATCCGTGCAGGGGTGCAACATTTCCTTTCATAGCAGGACCACTTCAAAACTTACCAAGGCGCCATGGATCAGATCAGAGCTGTACCGTGGAACCTTAAGATACCAGCGATGAGTATCGCCTTAGTGGTGCAATTATTACGTAAGTACAACCCAGTGTTTTCTTGTTACCCTTGTATTTAATCTAGATAACGATGTGTATACGCAAATTGTTTAAACTTCGCAGATACCGTTTTAATGTAGTGGTGTAGTACTGTGTTTAAAAAAAATACATAATGTAATGATTTGGATAAAATACAGCATGCAATATGCTACAGTCTCGGAGTAAATCTTACATTTGTTTTTACGGTTTCTTGGACTCGAAGGTAATTTAAAGACCAATGTGGATGGAATTGGAAAATACTAAAATCGTAAGTGGGTGTTGTCTGGAAGAGTGTACAAGGAAAAAGAGTAAAGAAAATGAATGACATTGGATTTGGAGCTATCAGCATGCGAACGATTCGATACTTGTTAATAAACTTTATCACAAGTTATCAATGTATATTAACGCCTAGTTTCTCTTTCATTCATCTCATCTTTCCAACCCATTCCCCTTGTGTTATATGCATTCAGATTGCATAATTATACTTGTTCTGGAGGGCAAGGTTTCACTTTCAAACGGATTTGAAAGACATTATTATACACTAATAATAATATCTTTGATCTATCATGCATCCGCAAGTTGCTTCATCGATCAAGGATTCGAATATTAACAATATACAATGATCTTGCGCTTTCTATGGGAGATGCTCTCAAATCGCAAACTTTTTGAAGGTCTCATTATCAGCCCGTAGGTCATGACACTGACAAAAAGTATTTTGTGGAATTGGGGGGGGGGGGGGGGGGTGGGGGATCTGGGTCGAGATGGGTAGGACACAAGCGAATCAGTGTTGTATAGATTATTTTACAGTTACTCATGTATCAGCTGGCGTTTCACATGACCTCTATCCCATTAAAACTACATGTGTAAAAATCATTATAAATCTATATCCATTAACTGATGACTATTTAATTAGCCCCCGTCCGACAAATCATAGACCTACCAATGCACACATTTCCTGCATACACCAGCGCGGCTAATGTGTTGAGGTTTATCGATGCTACATCCATCTACTAGATCTACCCCCCCCCCTCTGCCCCTTGGTTACCCCATCAAGTTTGTATCGGAGTTGATGAAGGCATTTAAAATGAATGTCGAACCAAGAAGTTACTAGCAACTGGGGATTCCCTGGTCCTGATGTAATAGATGCTTGCAACAAGTTATAGTGGATCTGTTCGGTAAGTGTGAAAAACCAAAAGACGGCCTCAAAAACCCTCCATCCGGCAGGCGGAGGGCAATGAGTTGTAAAAAAAGAAAAAAGAGACGGGTTAAAAAGGGTCACACTCTTCTTCAGTGGCCAGATGTGACAGATGTTTAAAAATTAAATCCGTTTCTGATGCAGACACACGTACGGTGGTCTGCAACTGGCCAGACGGATTTCAAACTAACCTGCTTAATTAAATCTTTATGATTCCATCTTCGGAATTACTGCGTGATTTCCGATGATTTGAATTTGATATTAAACAATTGTTAATTTGTTACGAAAGTGAGATTTACCCCCTCCCCTTCTCTCAATGATCATGTTAATCACTGTAACCCAACTCTGCGATTGTGGCTCTCACTTATGGGTGTAATTAAATCGAGCGCACTTTTATTATGAATCACTTTTGTACGAAGAGGAGGTCATATTAATTATTAGATGAGCAATCACACATGTCAAATCAAATACCGAAGGAATGTCAGTTTCAATTCACTGATTTGTTTATTTAATTAGTCATCTTTGGGCTCTGTTGCATGAATAATTAAAACAGGGAACTCTTTGGTGGCTAATCGGTGCATGTACTTTTTAATTGCTGTTATTAAGGTAATTAATGAAGCGCATCACTGTTGTTATCAACCAATTATTTTCAGGCATTTTGGAGCTTATCTCGTACATTGAAACGCACGCAGTCTTCAAAAACAACCCTGTTAATATTATCTCTCAATTTTCAAACGCCTTGGCTTTAGTCTGTACAAAAAAACCTCTCCATCTTATGTTTGGGGTAAATCAAATTTGTCACATCTGAAACATTGGTAGAGTAGGGCGGATGTCCGGGGTATGCGTACAATACCACTTATTAATTTTTTCAACCATTTCAATATTTTAAGCTTTAAAACAAGTATTGGCATTATCAATATTGTTGTCTCATCAAAAATTATTGTACCTTACATGATATGCCATTTCTACTTGGTCTTGTAGCGGTGGTACAATACACCTGTGTGTGGTAACACCGCTCTTTACACGTATTAAACCATGCAAAAGTGATAAAGTATCATCTGGCACTTTGCACGTTGTTGCTATGTCGGGATGGTCAGGCCGTGTTGAAATTTCTTTCTGTAAAGAATTAGTACATGTATGAATGCGGTTTTGTGTCAAGACGATTATTAAAAGGAAAAATCAATCGCACCTTTTATTTTTGTACGTGTTGTGAGCGGGGCTCACGTGGTAGGCAACAATGAGGGGAGATGACAGCCGTGGAAATGAACTGAATTACAAAATGAATTTCTTCCTCCGTGCCTCGTTTTGAGTCACAATAGGTCTACCGCAAGGAAATCACCTGTATGTCAGTAGTTACTAAAGAAGTGAGAAATATACCCGGAGGCGATCTACTGTTTGTAATAATCCTTTTGAGATTCATAACTCGACGTAAGCGATTCATATTGTCAGGATGGAGGAGAATGCAACATCGTTTCTTAAAGTCAGAAAACTAACAATACCTATTGTCACACGCCACTTGCATGAATGGTAGTCCAACTAAATCATTTTAAGCAGAGAAATATCAGGAGTTTAAAAAACACCCATTTCCTATATCATTTTCACAATGATCCCCTTCTTCTCCCCCTTTGGCATGATAATAATGTCTCGCAGGACACAGGTTTGTTGTGTATTATTTTAAAGTCTGAGAATCATGGAGTAACCCAAATATCCATTTAAAACTAATCAAAATAAAAGTCATTTCCAAATGCGTCTGCCTATACGTTAATTTAATTTCATATTTTGATCGGCTAAGGAGAATAAACGGTCACATGGTAATATCAATATTAGTTGCATTCCTATACAAACAGATGCCAAATCTCTACATGCCGATACTAAAACAAACCTGAACCCTTAAGGAGTAAATGCTTGATACCCTTTTTATCAAAGAAAGTTGCGATGTTAGTGTAAAATGTAGCCTGGTGATATCATAACAATTTTTTTTTTATCATTTCATCATCAATAACAACGCCACATGTTTATCAATCATCATGTAGCATGTTCTAATTCTGTAAATAAACATTTCTTGATACGTCTGGACGCACTCGACTGCTGCGCTGCCCACCTGTCAGTTCTAAGGCATCATGCAGGGCGAAATGATTGTTATCATTAATGATAATCAGAATTACCATTACCGCACCCACGCAATGTGTCCCTCGAAAGCTATAATAATAATAGGCATTTCTATAGCGCCGTCTATCTAGAAATTCGTTAGCTTTATTCATCAATTTATTCGTTCAATCATTTATTCGATCAATTAATCACTTACTTATTCATTTGTTCATTCATTTATTCAATGATTTAACAATCTATCATTCATTAATATTTGTTCGTGAGCGCCAGGAGTGTCAAATCTGACAGACATGGGCGCTATACAAGAACCAACTATTATTATTATTATTGTTATTATTTTTTTACGTTTATTTATTCATCCATACATTCATTTATCAACCATTAGTTCCTTGATTCTTTCATTTATACATTCATTCATACATTCATTTATTCACTCATCCATTCATCCATCCATTCTTTCTACATGCCAATAATAGGCGTACTCGACGGGGACAGACCCAGAGTACAAATGTACGAGAAAAGTAAACATTATATCTTTAGTTGTATTTCGTGATAAAATTTCAAATATTATTTGATGAGTCACACAATGCCGTCAAACGTCATCATCCTATAGTAATATATGGCACGTAGCAGTGTTGACTTTGATATCTTTCGTAATACAATAATTATGATTGTGTTATCTACCCTTTAATCTAATTATTTTATTGATAAGTTTTTAAATAGCGCCTGACGCAATAGAGAATAATTTATCATTTATAAATTTGTATTGATTGCTGTAAAGTTTTATGAACTAAACGACACAAAACACCTAAGATTAAAGAAGTAATTGCCAGTATTCAGCCATTGTATTCTGCTAAAGAAGGCATTTGAGATGCTTTCGAGTCGTGACTTACTCCCCCCCCCCCCCCCCTATTTCATGAATCACCATTAGCAGTTTAGACACATTTAGAGGGAATTCCCAATCGATGCCCGCAATAGTCCTTTTTACTTATGTATTTTAATTCATGTATGTTTCTATTAAATGCACCTGCTATGATCATAATGGCAGGTCAATAGATGGAATTGACGTTGCAACGGCTGCATACATTTACTGTTGCTATGTTAGACAAGCCTCAACGCTATTGATTTGTCAAGGGAATTCTTTCTAACTAGAAGATGCAGACAATAGACCGGTTTAATAACATATTCAAATTCATGGATGTTTCTTTCCTCGGGACCCAGTGACGAAGTATTCCACAATCTGCTATTAATGAATGAATACTTGGAGTCTAGTCTGCAAATAGCATTTGGTGCTATGTCGGGTTAGCTTCAGCCAATCATTCAGGATGACAGGACAACCTTTGTTTAAAAAGTATGCATACAATTTGAATATGTTAGTAAGCCCGTCTATGAGTTAACAGGTATATTTTAACGGGTAAGCGTTTATCCCATGCAATCCTATGCATTCGTACTGTAATGTACCAATCATGGGTGTTATGTAATACGAAGGGTAAATACCCGAATAACCCGATGGACAATAAAGAATAAGAATACTAATGACCATGTTATGTTGTTATGCCTTCTTGCTTGGTTTGATTTAGTAGAATGCGAGCTCGTCCTTGATGGGAGATTGGAATGTTTAGTGATTCGAAAAGAATGTTTACCAATAGCCGAATAGGAGAAACACATTACAGGATTGATGTTACCCAAATTTACG